ATATTCATAGCAAATTTGACTGCGAAGGTCATGTAGCATTACAGCAACGGAAATGTAATTACCCTCTGGGTTTGGTTACCGCCTGGCAGAGGGGGAGAAAATCCTGCACTCGTTCCCGAAGGATCTTCACGAAGGGCTTCGATGTACGAATACACCACCACGATGAAGTAGATCTTGGAGCAAAAAGAGGGAGGCGATGAGTTCAGACCCAGGCCATCATCAATTTAAGAGTATGTAGTAGAATGAACAGGAGAAGAGAGTGCTTTTCAACTGAGTGTGGTAAAACCAAAACCGGCCAAGTAATCAGAAAAAATTGAAAACACTTAGAAGTGGCAGCTATAAATTAAGGTAAAAACAACTGGAGTGCCTGAAGCTCGGGAAAACCAGGGCGATTAAGTCGTGATTAGTTTTAATTTTGCGTCTGATTGCTTAGTGGCGTAAGATTTCTGAACCAATCACAGAGCCAAGGCAAAATCAATCCAATTTCGGGGTTTTTTTTCCACTCTCAAAAAGAAATTGCTTTAAGACTGAAATAGAACATACCGAAAGCAACCATGCAATGCTCGTGATAAGTAAGAAGACGGCAAACTGTAACATGGAAGGAAACAGAAATCAAGTTAAATTCTTTGAAAAACTCTTTCTTAGTAATTCATAAAAAAAAAAGGTTGTTTAAATTTACCCCCTCCCAGATGGCAATGTAAAATATCACCACTCCAAAACTGAAAAAGAGCTGGAATATGCTCCACCCAAGCCAAGGAAATGCCAAACGCTTGTCACCCTGCGATGAAAAACAACGATGATCAGTAAACTAACAAATAATTAAATAAAAAGTCAACGCTCCAAGCTGCGACTGTTTGGGTCGAATCAAAAAGAAAAATCGTCGATTTGAAGCGAAAACCACAAATTAATTTGATGATTTGTGTTTTGCAGTCATATAAACCTTTTTTTTCCATTTTTATTTTTAAAGTGTTGAATTAATGTGAGATTATCATTCGAATACACTGCTATCAAAGCTTTTCTGGCGCGCGATTGGTCTAAACGCATCATATAATCGTAATACTCCCCATTTTCCAAATCATACATCAAGGGCTATGAAGGTATTTATTCATAATTGAATTCAAGACGAAAGAGCGTCTAGGTATTGTTACAAGATGAGAGGTTTGTTTGTTCATAAAGTCGTACCAAAGAGCTCTGAAAAGTGAACATCTCACGAAGCAAACAGCAAGCTGTTCGTAAACATTTTCCCGTCCCTTGAAAGTTGCAAAAATATTTTAATGATAACAAACACAACAGCCTCCGTTCAACGTCAAAATATGCTCGTATATTTGTCCTTGGAATTATCTGTCCTATAAAATTCTTTTTATGTTACGTGCTAAAATCTCAGAATCTC